CTGAACCATGATAATTATATATAGTAAACAAGCAACATTAATTCCTCTGGTTGTTATACATTGTGTAACAAAAACCAAAAATAGCAATATCAACTATGAGCTAAAGATAACAGCCAATAAGGGCCTAGATGGCAGTAAAATGTCTCTGCTTGTGATCATCAATGGCTCTGCTCCTCAGGTACTTACATTACAGCTTATTTTCTACTACCTGTAATCCCTCCTTCCAAAAGATTTTTCTTTTTTGTCTTTTTTTCTGGTTGGCTTTTTCCTGTTGAATGGAGGCTTTTTCTGGCTGTCTAGCAGTTATTTCCTGCTTGGCTTCTTCCTACAAAATCCAATTACATATATTATGATAAATTAGACCCAAAGGTTAATAAAAACACTTATAGACATGCAAACAATTGAGTCTCTTGATTCATGATCATTAAATAAATAAAAAGTTTTCATGTAAACGCATTCCTTTTACCTCCCACATAAAAGAACTCTCATCCAAAGTGATTTCATCTTCTTGTTTTGGCTGCTTCATGCTAGTTGCACTCTCCCTTTCTACGGGTTCATAATCCTCGCACTCTCTGAGAGTCATAATCATCATATATAAACAACAAAATCCAATGTACAAATTAATGTTATTGACGAAAACACGAGTAATGTGAAGAAAACTTACGGAGTAAAGCCGAACGTAAGCATGAACCAATTACCGGCCTCGATATCCACAGGAAGAACAATTGAATGTAAGGTCTCGATCATATGTCTTGTTCCTTCTTGGATAATTTGAAACGTGGTGATACAAAGATGTTGAACCTCATCACATTCTTCGTTAGTGCCAGTCTTAACATGAACTAAGTCTTGATTCCCCAGATGAACCAAATAGTCAGTCACAAATTCACCAAATTGCAATGGGGGATCAGCAATCTCAAGGCCGTTCAATCTATACAGTTGCACTAGTGAATATGCAATATCACCGTCATCATTTACCTTCCTCTCCAAGGAGTATGCTATAATCTCATCCACCTCAAGCATATTTAAGGCATAGATAGTCTCGCCTACAACCACGGCCCTCCCTCGGAAAGGAATATAAGTGTTAGTTTGCACTCGTTTCCAATTCTTTGTCCCCACGTGAAAAGCAACGACATCCAATTTTTGGTGTCTGTCACACAATGTATACAAAATAAGGCCATAACAAACGGCATAACCAGTTACCTTCATAATGTATTCATAAGAAAATGGAAACAAAGGCAGTCGCACCCAATCCTTCTTATCAGGATTGTATTTCCCAAAACCTAGACTCCGACTTCGTCCCTTGGCTTCAAGAAAATAAAGTGTGCCATATGCCGACACAACTGTTCCACGCGGCTTAAACTGTACGGTAGAAGGTGTGAAGGAATCTAATTTCCTAGTTTTCATATTAAAGATAGACCCTCTGAATGAACTAAGGTCAGGTTTATCCCAATCCTCGTCTGTAAATACATATAGTTCGGAGCGGTCAAAAATCCTTGCACCCCGAACGTTAAAATCACTGAATGTGGCTACAGGTTTAGGTGCTCCTCCTCCGCCCATATCATCCACTTCTCCTCCAAATTTGAATTTAACTTCATATATGGCACCGGTATATTTGCCCCCATCGAAAGTTACCATTAAAAACACAGATCTATCTTGGCCCCCCTGATTTACCGTCATCCCCTCCATGGGCAAGCTGAACAGAGAAGAGAGAGATATATAAAACAATTCAAGTTAATCTTTTCAAACAACTACCTATACCTAGAGAGAATTAATGAATGAAGCAATGTCAAAGCTACACAATTATATATATATATATATATATACACACACAAACAAACAACAATGCGAATGAGAAAAAAAAAATTAAGGAGATGAAATCCACTAGTAAGTAAGGCATGCACTGACCTTGGGTAAGGATGAACGGTCCCATGTTTGCAACTGCCAGCCCTACTGAAGCAAAGCTCGTCCAATATTAATTTCTTCAAATGGACCAGTTGGATTTGGTGGGACAAAAGCGCGGCTAGAGATTTCTCCATCTCTGATATCTTGCCCGGTTCGCCATGAGAATTCTCCATCTCCCATATCTCGCCCAGTTCGCGCAGAGATTTATCCATCTCCGATACCTTGCACAGAGATTTCTCGATCTTTGATGTATTGTGGCGTGAAGCCATCGTCAAGGTATGGTCTTGACCCGACGTGAGCTCAATGGCAGCGACCATGATATTGGAATACTAAACTGAGGCAAAAGGGAATTTAGGGTTTGGGGATACTGCGGCAGAAGGGAGTTTTTATATGGTTGGTTGTGGGTATGAAATATATTATGCTGAGGCTTGCCAGTCTTAACATGAACTAAGTCTTGATTCCCCAGATGAACCAAATAGTCAGTCACAAATTCACCAAATTGCAATGGGGGATCAGCAATCTCAAGGCCGTTCAATCTATACAGTTGCACTAGTGAATATGCAATATCACCGTCATCATTTACCTTCCTCTCCAAGGAGTATGCTATAATCTCATCCACCTCAAGCATATTTAAGGCATAGATAGTCTCGCCTACAACCACAGCCCTCCCTCGGAAAGGAATATAAGTGTTAGTTTGCACTCGTTTCCAATTATTTGTCCCCACGTGAAAAGCAACGACATCCAATTTTCGGTGTCTGTCACACAATGTATACAAAATAAGGCCGTAACAAACGGCATAACCAGTTACCTTCATAATGTATTCATAAGAAAATGGAAACAAAGGCAGTCGCACCCAATCCTTCTTATCAGGATTGTATTTCCCAAAACCTAGACTCCGACTTCGTCCCTTGGCTTCAAGAAAATAAAGTGTGCCATATGCCGACACAACTGTTCCACGCGGCTTAAACTGTACGGTAGAAGGTGTGAAGGAATCTAATTTCCTAGTTTTCATATTAAAGATAGACCCTCTGAATGAACTAAGGTCAGGTTTATCCCAATCCTCGTCTGTAAATACATATAGTTCGGAGCGGTCAAAAATCCTTGCACCCCGAACGTTAAAATCACTGAATGTGGCTACAGGTTTAGGTGCTCCTCCTCCGCCCATATCATCCACTTCTCCTCCGAATTTGAATTTAACTTCATATATGGCACCGGTGTATTTGCCCCCATCGAAAGTTACCATTAAAAACACAGATCTATCTTGGCCCCCCTGATTTACCGTCATCCCCTCCATGGGCAAGCTGGACAGAGAAGAGAGATATATAAAACAATTCAAGTTAATCTTTTCAAACAACTACCTATACCTAGAGAGAATTAATGAATGAAGCAATGTCAAAGCTACACAATTATATATATATATACACACACACAAACAAACAACAATGCGAATGAGAAAAAAAAAATTAAGGAGATGAAATCCACTAGTAAGGCATGCACTGACCTTGGGTAAGGATGAACGGTCCCATGTTTGCAACTGCCAGCCCTACTGAAGCAAAGCTCGTCCCATATTAATTTCTTCAAATGGACCAGTTGGATTTGGTGGGACAAAAGCGCGGCTAGAGATTTCTCCATCTCTGATATCTTGCCCGGTTCGCCATGAGAATTCTCCATCTCCCATATCTCGCCCAGTTCGCGCAGAGATTTATCCATCTCCGATACCTTGCACAGAGATTTCTCGATCTTTGATGTATTGTGGCGTGAAGCCATCGTCAAGGTATGGTCTTGACCCGACGTGAGCTCAATGGCAGCGACCATGATATTGGAATACTAAACTGAGGCAAAAGGGAATTTAAGGTTTGGGGATACTGCGGCAGAAGGGAGTTTTATTATGGTTGGTTGTGGGTATGAAATATATTATGCTGAGGCTTGGAATTTATTCAAGAGATCAATATGCTTTCATTCATGGGTAAAGTACGAATTGCAAAGCATGTATTCATATAATGACCTAATTAATCTTGCTAGAAACAGGAAACATTTAAAATATATATATTTGAGAGAAAACAGGAAACTTATAAGAAGAAGAAACTTATAATTGTTTTTTTAATATATATATGTACGTATTCTATTTAGTAGGTGTAGGTATTCTATTTAGTTTTCTTTTTTTTTTAGAATTTCTTTCTTTTTTAAAAAAATTTCTTTCTTTTTTAAAAATAAATTCCTAGTGTTACCTGTTTGTTTATTTGTTACCCTTTTTATGATTTTTTTTGGGTTTTAGGGCCAATTGAGGAAGATGTTTAGTTCAAAGCCCTATATAATTGACCTTCTTCTTTGATTTTATTGCTTCACTCTCGTTAATCAAAGGTGCTGGTGGACTGGATCTCTCTTTGACACCATCGTTTTTGCTTCGTTGTCCAAGATAATCAAAGGTTAGCTCATCATCTCATGCTTTCTCAGTTATATTTTAGTTTTGTTTTCTTTTGAACATTGTAGTAGTATTGTTTCTATTTGGTTAGAGTTGTGCATCTCAGTTTTCTTAGGATGTACACTGCTGTTTTTTTACCTTACTCTTCTTTTTGAGCTCAAGTGTTTTCTAAGGATACTGTTTGTTCTTACAAGTATACTGTATATTTTGGACGATTTTGTTCTCTTCGTTCTTTATCAGCATACTTATAATGAAGTGGAATTTTTAAAGTCTCTCTTTTTGGTGTTCTTAGTTTAATCTCTCAGTGACAGTGTTGCTCTTTTCAAATTATTTTTGCATGGTGTTGATGTTTGTTTGGTGTCATGTAATTGACTCTTTCTGCACAAATATTTACTTTTTAGAAAAATAAGACTAACCCTGAAAGTAATTTTTGTGTAAAATTTCTTTTCATAGGACTAAATCCATTAATTAATTGTGATTGTTGCCAGTGGCGAAAAACCAAATAAACTCGTAGTTGAAGGAAAGCCCGAGAAGAAAACGTCTAAATTACTAGATTTGTATTTTGTATCGTGATGATGGATAAGTGGGGTTGGGATGCTGATTTGGAAGGCGTGCATTGCAATTTGTTTGTTTTGCTGGCCTGCTAATTAAAAGGATTAAATGTTTGTTTGTTTCTATATCTTTTCTTGCAGTTTACTTTCGTTGCTAAGAATTCTTTACAGTAAATGGAGGACCAGAGAACGAAGTTTGAGTTTGTTGAAACGTTGCATCGTGAAAATAAGAAACAAAACCAGGTCATTGGTTCTGCGGTTTGTTTTTACAGTTTCACGTTTAATTATAAAATTTCTCAAAAATTGTATCAGTGGTATTTATATTTTGATCCTTACAAGCCACCTATAAATGCGGTATTTGTAAAAGTTGCTGGACAAAATGCAAAAACAGTATTTGAAAGGAATTGTGCAGTTACTGATGGTGTTGTTTTACGGCCGTGGACATATTTGTTCTCCCAACAAAAGGACTTTCCCAACTTGCCTCAAGATACAGAGTTGAGGAAGGGAATTTGGTGTCTATGTTATGATCGCTTCGAACACGATCTTAAAGAGTGGACGACTCTAGTGAACAATGGTTATTATGATGAGCTTAAACTACCTATCAAGATTCGCGATGGTTGTCTTAACGACTTCTGGCTTAATTCTATAAGGTAGTTGGTTAGATTTTTATTTATTATTAATTTTGTTTGGTTAAAATTGATTATAGTTTAGTTTAGTTTTAATTTAATTGTATTTGACATAAATTCTTTGTATTAATTGTTTGTAGGGATTTGATTTCTTGTGTACGTCGCATCCATTCTAAGGGGTTATATCATGGTGGATTGCGTGACCGGACTAACTATGTATTTGTTGACAAATGTCTGAAGATAGTCAACATTAATGGATCTTTGGATGAGTTGAAAGTTATGAAAAACGTGAGAAGGAAAAGAAAAAAGATATTACAGGCCTTTTATGGATGTTGGACAACTGGTTCGAATCGATAGTAAGGGGAGACAAACGTAATTGGCCGGAATGTGACGCGTTCTTTAAGGATGCCAAATATGTTGACACTTTGGGTTTGGGGTGAGATCTCCATCTCTCTTTTATTTTATTTTTTCTTGCTCTTTCTTTTTTATTTCATTTCTTTCTTATATGATGGATGTTCTTTTTGTCTTTTCAGCTATAAAGATTTTGTCGATAAAGTGGAGGGTCATCCGTTTTTGTTAAGCCCTGACGACAGGATGCATCTCTTTGATGTTTATGAACGTAAGAGGATTGATCCAACTACTTGTCAAGATGTCCAACACGCTTTGACATCATCTGATTTTGATAAGTTCAAAAACTGGAACAGTTCTTCAACCCTTGCTAGCATGGATAGCCATATGTTGGGTGTTTATCATTATAATCCCAATCGTAAATCTACCAGTTATAATCCTAATCATCATAAATTTACCACATATGGTGGGGGTGTGAAGGATCTTCTTAGGTACCTCAGGAATCTGAATCATCATTATCATGAACAGAAGTTGGTTGTTTCTATGGAAGATGTGGATCGTCGTGTTCGTACTCAATTTGGTGGGTTTTTGGAGCAGCTGTACAAGCATTTATAGGTTCATAGAGGAGTGGTGTTTGGTTCATGGTGTTATTTTATTTTGTGTCATAACATTTTGTAAATCAAAGATTTCATGGCATCAGTACAATTGGTACAATAATTAGTCTAAGAAATTGTTTTGCAAACTGCAATATTAATACAAGTACATGTGACACTAGGGGCGTTTTATAAATTTTATACATGCACTACATTTTTCTCTCCTGCAACTTACTACTGCAAAGCATTATTACTACCCATACATTTGATATCCAACTTTCAGTGAGACTGACAGCATTGAAGCTTCAAACAAACTATGATGATTGGTGGGTGATATTGAAGAAAAACTCACGGAAGCATCATAATTTACAAGTAAGCACCCTTTGTTTGCTGAAACAAAACATCAAATGCAGTGACGTAATATCAATAATTTATTAACGCAAAACTCCACATGAGCCGTATATATGTTGTTTTTTTCTTAGTTAAAGAACAGCAAAATGAAAAAGTTTAGGCTAAAATTTAATGAATGAATCTCATACAACCACTATACCTTTTCGAATCTTAAGCAAAGTAAAAATCACATTCAATGCGAACAACCCATATATAAATGGGTGGAATAAATAAATAAAAACAAAGGAACTACATTTTGAAAAAGAAAAGAATTACCACTCACCTCAATGGCTTTGGCAAAGATAAGTAAGCCATTGGCCATCATCAGCAGGAGACTGTCAGCAGAATTATCCTCTCTGAGCTCATTCTTCTCATGTGTCACCTGTTCAATTTTCAAACAACTTGCATGAAGATATGGTTGATTAAAAAAAGATGCAACTAAGATGCACAAGTTTCTTCTCAGCTCTAACCTACTGATGCATAAGGAATGATCCAAACTAACCAGTCTTAAAAAACAAAAAAAAACAAAAAAACAGTAGGGTTTCAGCTAAATACCTACAGAATTAAGTACGCATATATTTTTTGAATCTTCTACACAAATGACACAGTAACAAAATATTTGGGGGCAAAGAAATTTGTAAAGTTCCTTTATACATAGCTAGATTTTGACAACAGGGGATGCATTCTCCTTTCGTAAGTACTGAATCTGACCAAGCAAGTACTTTTAACAGTCGAGTAGCTGCACACAACATATAGAGGCCTTTCAACTGTTCAGCTGATTTAGTTCTTTACAAGAGTTATCTCAAATTAAGAATGACCCACCATCATATCAAAAAATGCTTACAATAAGAGAGTCATGGTGAACTTCTCATAAATAAAAGGCAACTTACAAGGAGCATCAGCCAGCTCAAGAAAAATGACACACGCTTATATTTCTCACTCTCAGCCTTGTGGATTCTCTAAGGAATTTTCCTGTGTATCTTTTTTCTAGGACAAGCCCTGCACATCAAACAGCTTTAAACATCTATCCAAGCAATCTGAGTGATTTTTCATCCTAATAAACAGTCATGCTAATCCACTTGGATGTGTCACATCCATTATTCTAAAGAACTTAACACAATTTGATAATGCCTAGAGGAAATGCAGTTGGAAGACACTCAAAAACCTCTTATAAAGCATGAACATATTAATGCCATTAGTGCAATCATAAAGGAGTATGAAGTTCAAAATACATAAAGGAACAGCGGGTTGTTTTTTCTTTATGAAAAACGAATCAGTAATCCACATCAGAAAGAGATTTTAACTGACATAAATCAGCTTCATCAACAGGAATCAAATTCTTTGTTCACAATAGAGCCTAAGTGAGCACTTCTGTCAAGAAATCCACATTATTTGAATCCTCTAATCAGTTAGAAAGGCTACCTGTCAAAAACGAATCATATGTATTCTTTCCTTCACATGAATTCCATAAACTTTCTCTGAGAAAATTCTATTCCAAAACGTAGCTGTATTTCTATATTTCTAAGTAGATTTCGACAGGGATGAAACTTATACTGGTTCCACAACATAATGTGTGTACCCTGTATCTTTTTCATCACTCCTTCAGAAACCCCATGTCTAAATTTTCAATTTGCCTTTTTCAAAATGTTACACTACTTTGCATCATAAAGTTTCTAAAGCAGGACAAGCTTTACCGTTCCTAAGTACACATGAACATCCAGCCTTTAATTAATATGCCAAGCATTAGAATATCCAATCCAGATAATAGAAAGTTTCTAGCACTCATAACAATGCTTATGCGCTCATGTGAAAATTAAGATCTGAACAACTTACCCACGCACTGAGGTCTCCGTTACATTAGCCTTGTCAGCCACCGGAACAGGATCCTGTGAACCCATGATCCAATAACGGTCTCTATGATGAACTAAATAGAGCCTTATATCCTATAATAAGAAGCAATACCAAATTCAGACATTCTTGAATCTTGTCAGATGATCCTCCAAACAACAGTAGGCAACCATATTTATCGTTATTGGGCCTGAATTTTTGCACTTTATATATAGATATTGAATTTTAAAATGAAACCCTAGTTTGCTTTCCTACAAATGATTGTTCTACCTCATTGCTCAGTAAACAAAAACCCTTAATCAACTGAACCGCAAAAATATTACAATTAATAAATTGAAATGATAGCTTTTAACCCATCTTGTAGAAAATGATACTTGAACTACGAGAAATTCGGAATTAGACATCAATTTAACCCCAATCCAGAAAAAGGATTTGTACTGTTTAGAAAGAAACAAAAAGCCATAATTCCAGAGACCCTAGATCAGAACAAAGAAACCATTTTGTGGAGAAGAAAGAAGAATACACCCAGAGGAAATCCACAATTAGATTGAGAAAATGAAAAATTTACTGAATCACCTACCTCACCTGCAGTTGGAAATGCTGGGCAGGACAAATGGGGTCTTGGATTAAGAGAAATTCAATAGATTTCGAAGAAAAATAACAAAGGATTTGGTTGAAATCTGGGGGTATATATTTACACAGAAAAATGTCATTGAATAACGAGGTAAGGTAACTGTACGCTTGGCATTTAGGAGGAGGGGAGGAAGACAGAGAGTGTGGCGGGAGAAAACGAGGCAGGGGAGGGCGTGTGGTGAGCGCTTGCCTTTTTGGTGCGCAATGAACCCAGCCACGTGACTCGCCACGTGATCTTCCTTGTTTTTTTCATAGCTCACGTTGTATTATTACATTATATATGCTAGTGGTGAATTGAAATTTTTTTGTTGTTGGAGTGGTGAATTGATTTTATAAATTATATCAGCACCTTCCCCTTTTTGTTTTTTTTTTTAATGAAAAGAAAAATTAAAGAAATAGTGATAGGATTATTAGCAAATCTGTTAAGAGGCATACATATGAACTTTTTATAATGTCAACTTCTTGAGTAGCCAAAATATGAAACCAATCTATTCGGGTTTGGGGGGGATCGCGGTGGATTCCTAGACCAATTAATTTTCGTATTGCCTCTCTCATGCAACAAGGGCAAGAAGATTTAAAGGTCAGTGAGCTTATTATTGAGAATGGTACACCATGCTGGAATGTCTCATAATTCCATTTTTTTGGCAATGGATGTGGATGAAATTTTGAAAATCCCGTTGAGCGTTTGTCTCCCGGCAGATCTCGTTTGGCATTATGATAAGAGGTCATCTTACAGTTAGAGAAGTGCTTACTATGTTGCAATGGACTTGGAATTGGAGGAGGGGCAAGGATTGGCAACAACTTCAGTGAGTGAAGATGCTTCAGTTTGGAAGGTGTGT